CCAGAGCCCAGCAGGTTGAGGCTGCGGTGGCCAGGAGCGGCCACTGCACTCCAGTCTGGGGGATAGAGTGAGACGCCAACTCAAAAATAAATAAATAAATAACAATAAAAATAAATGAGTAATGTGGCCTCAGACTATACGAATTCTCTTTCCTTCCAGGAATGCCCTTCAACCAGCTGGGCACCCTGGCAGGCAGCAAATACTATAATGTGGAAGCCATGTATTGCTACCTGCGCTGGTAAGTATTTGCCAGGCTTTCCCTAACCCTGCTTTCATGTGTGTATCATTCCTGCTTTGTCTTGTCTCCCCTTCCTCCCTTACTAGCTCCTGGCTGAGAGAGATACGGGAATGCTAAGATTGAGCGATCAGTCCACTCAGGGGGACCCTGACACAGTCTTGTTGCTTTTCACATAGCCACTGCATCTGTAAGCACTTGGGCAGCTACACAACTATTTACCATCTTATGCAAAAGTCAGGATTACTGTCTTTCTGAAGAAGGAAATCAATTTGACTTAGTTATAAAATGTTACCAAAGTGGCCTCTAATAAGAACTTCAGAATTTTATTTTATGTTTTTTGAGTTGGAGTCTCTGTTGCCTAGGCTGGAGACCAGTGGCACATTCACAAAGACCCCAGCGTCGACAGGCTGGGCTCTGGCGATCCTTCCGCCTCAGCCTTCCAAGTTGTTGGATCTACAGGTGTGTGCTACCATGCCTGGCTATTTTTTTTTTTTTTTTGAGTTGGAGTCTCACTCTGTCACCCAGGCTGGAGGGCTGGAGTACAGTGGCATGTTTACGGCCACTGCAGCCTCAACCTAATGGGCTCAGGTGATCCTTCCTCCTCAACCTTCCATGTAACAGGAACTATAGGCATGCAACCACCACGCCCAGCTAATTGTAGAGATGAGGTCTCACCAAGTTGCCAAGGCTGATCTGAAACCCGTGGGCTCAGGCAATCCTCTCACCTCAGCCTCCGAAAGTGCTGGGATTATAGGCGTGTACCACTGTGCCCGGCCAATTTTTTGAATTATTGTAGAGACAAGGTCTCACCAAGTTGCCTGGGCTGGTCTTGAACCTGCAGGCTCATGCAATTGACTCCCCTTGGCCTCCCAAAGTGCTGGGATTGTAGGCTGAGCCATCGAGCCTGGCCAAACTTCAGAATTTTAGAGCTTCAGTGTCTTTTTTTTCTTTTTTTAGTTGGAGTCTTACTCTGTTGCCCAGGCTGGAGTGCAGTGGTATGCTTATGGTCACTGCAACCTCAACCTGCTGGGCTCACGTGATCCTTCTGCATCAGCCTTCCAAGTAGCTAGAATTACAGGCACGCGCCACCATGCCTGGGTAGTTTTTTGATTTATTGTAGAGACCTGAACTACTGTGTCTTAATGTGATGACCCAACATGGAGAGATCAGCTTAACAGCAGGGTTGGTCAATGCTTCCCTGAGACTGACCTTTGGCTCTTAGAGTAAAAAATAAACTTTTTGGCTGGACATGGTGGCTCATGCCTGTAGTCCTAGCACTTTGGGAGGCCGACATGAGATAATTGCCTGAGCCCACAGGTTCCAGACCAGCCTGGGCAACTTGGCAAGACCTCATCGCTACAATAAATCAAGGAAAATTAGCTGTGTGTGATGGTGCATGCCTGTGGTTCCAGCTACTTGGAAGGCTGAGGCAGAAGGATCATGTGAGCCCAGCAGGTTGAGGCTGTGGTGGCCGTAAGAGTTCCATTGTCCTCCAGCCTGGGCGACAGAGTGAGACTCCAACTCAAAAAAAAAAACAAACCAAAAAAACTTTTTATGGCACCCAGAATTGATCTGGCTTAGAATACTGAGCCACCATAGTCAAGTGCACAGGAAGTTGATAGGTAAAGCAGAATGCTTCACCTAGAGTGCTTTTAAGTTATAGTGAGAAACAAACTGCCAGGAAGACTGGAAAACTTACTGTTATCATCTAATCAGGGCTAAAGTAAAGAAGCCAAAATAGTTCATTCTTTTTTTTTTTTTTTTTTGAGTCAGAGTCTCACTCTGTTGCCCAGGCTGGAGTATAGTAGACGCTCACGGCTGCTGCAGCCTCGACCTGCTGGGCTCAGGTGATCCTTTTGCCTCAGCCTTCCAGTTAGCTGGAACTATAGGCGAGTGCCACCACACCCAGCTAACTTTTTGATTTACTGTAGAGATAAGGTCTCACCAAGTTGCCCTCACTGGTCTCAATCCTGTTAACTCAATCTTCTCACGTCGGCTTCCACCATGCCTGGCTGATTACCTGATTTAGAACCTTCTGTTGCATCTTTCCCATTCCTAGAATGCCTTCCCAAGAATTCCCTCCTTATTTATCCTGGGTCCCTCATCATACTCATAAGCATGATTTAGATGGGTCACTTCTAGAAGAGAGCTAAACCTATCCAAGTTTGGGAGGTGTCCACTAAGGGCCTACTCTATTCTGCTGATAATTTGTGGGTTAGGCATTTGGGCAGGGCTCAGTTGGGTAGTCCTTCTCTCCGTGGCATTGTTTAGGGTTAGTCATAGGTACCTGGCTAATCTGGAGGTCTAATACACCTAGAGGGTTGGCTCATTTGGGCTCCCTCCCTCTCCTGTGCTCTTGGGCATCTCTACATGGTGTCTTCCACAGGGTAGAAAGACTTCTTACGTAATAGCTCAGGGTTCCAATGGTGCTGCAGCTCTTTCCACCTGAGAGACTTGCAAGTTGGACCTGGCAGTTTCTTAAGGCTTGGGGTAGAAACTTGGATTCACTTCTACAGTATTCTGTTGGTCAAAGCAGTAGCATGATCCTGTCTCTCCTAATCCCTACAAGATTTTACAGGTGGAAATGTAAGCCACTCTTCTCTTTGAACTGTGTCAAAGAATTTGTGGCTATCCTTAATTCACCACAAGCATTGATTTCTTCTTGTTTGTTTGTTTGTTTATTTTTGAGTCAGAGTTTCACTCTATCGCCTAGGCTAGAGTACAATGGCATGCTCATGGCCACTGTAACCTCAACCTGCTGGGTTCAGGCAATCCTTCCACTTCAACCTTCCAAGTAGCTGGAATTATAGGCGTGTGCCACTGTGTCAAAGTACATTTTTTTTTAAATTTAGAGAGAGATGAGGTCTCGCCATATTGCCCAGGCTGGTCTTGAATCCCTAGGCTTAGGCAATCCTTTCACCTCAGCCTCCCAAAGCGCTGGGATTAAAAGGCGTGAGTCACTATGCCTGGCCTTCTTTTTTATTTTATTTTTTTGAGTCAGGATCTCACTCTGTTGCCCAGGCTGAAGGGCAGGCATGTACCAGCATACTCAGCTAATTTTTGTAGAGATGAGGTCTCGCTATGTTGCTCAGGTCAGTCTCAAACTCCTGATCTCAAGTACTCCTCCCAGAGTACTAGGATTAAAGGTGTGAGCCACTGTGCCCAGCCGGTTTCTTCCTTTTTGTGCCATTCTGGCTCATTGCAGCCTTGATTTCCTGAGCTCAAATAATTCTTCCACTTCAGCCTCCTGAGTAGCTGAGACTGCAGTCTTGCATCACCACACCTGGCTAATTTTTGTGTTATTTTGTAGAGATAAGGTCTCACTGTGTTGTACAGGTTGGTCTTGAACTTCTGGGCTCAAGTGATTCTTCTGCCTTGGCCTCCCAAAGTGCCGGGATTACAGGCACGAACCACTGCCTGGCCCTTTTTCTTTTTTATACCTTGCTTTTTATAATTACACACTTGCTTTTATTCTTACTATTGCACTTGACCAGTCTTTTTTTTTTTTTTGGAGTAAGAGTCTCACTCTGTTGCCCAAGCTGGAGTGCAGTGGCATGCTCACGGCCACTGCAGCCTCTACCTGCTGAACTCAGGTTATCCTTCCACCTTGGCCTTTTAAGTAGCCAGAACCACAGGTGTGCACCACCATGCTCAGCTAATTTTTTTCTTGAGTTGGAGTCTCACTCTGTTGCTCAGATTAAAGTGCAGTGGCACGCTGCTCACTACCACCACAGCCTGGGCTCAGGTGATCCTTCTGCTGAGTAGCTAGAACTACAGGCGTGTACCTCCACACCTGGCTAATTTTTTTTTTGGATTTATTGTAGAGATGAGGTCTCACCATGTTGTCCAGGCTGGTCTTGAACCCCTGGACTCAGACAATCCTCTTGCCTCTGCTCCCAAAGTGCTGGGATTACAGGCTTGAGCCACCACGCCCAACCTTAATTTTTTTATTTATTGTAGAGGCAAGGTCTTGCCAAGTGGTCAGGCTGGTCTTGAACCCCAGGACTCAGACAATCCTCCTGCCTCCGCCTCCCAATGTGAGCCACTGTGTGAGCCACTGTGCCCCACCTTGACTAGTCTTTAAAAAAAATAAAAGGAAAAAACCTTATTTTTATTTTACTTTTTTGTTTGTTTGTTTGTTTGTTTGTTTTGAGTTGGAGTCTCACTCTGTTGCCCAG